ATAACACTCTCGGTGGGGTAGGCTAGTTGTTAAAAATCAAGATATCCAAGAGCTAATTGATCCAATAACACTCTCGGTGGGGTAGGCTAGTTGTTAAAAATCAAGATATCCAAGTGCTAATTGATCCAATAACACACTCGGTGGGGTAGCCTAGTTGTTAAAAATCAAGATATCCAAGTGCTAATTGATCCAATAACAGTATTGGTGGGGAAGCCTTGTTGTTAAAAATCAAGATATCCAAGAGCTAATTGGTCCAATAACACCCTCGGTTGGGTAGGTTGTTAAAAATCAAGATATCCAAGAGCTAATTGATCCAATAACACTCTCGGTGGGGTAGGCTAGTTGTTAAAAATCAAGATATCCAAGATCTAATTGATCCAATAAAACTCTCGTTGGGGTAGCCTAGTTGTTAAAAATCAAGATATCCAAGATCTAATTGATCCAATAACACTCTCGGTGGGGTAGGCTAGTTGTTAAAAATCAAGATATCCAAGAGCTAATTGATCCAATAACACTCTCGGTGGGGTAGGCTAGTTGTTAAAAATCAAGATATCCAAGTGCTAATTGATCCAATAACACACTCGGTGGGGTAGCCTAGTTGTTAAAAATCAAGATATCCAAGTGCTAATTGATCCAATAACAGTATTGGTGGGGAAGCCTTGTTGTTAAAAATCAAGATATCCAAGAGCTAATTGGTCCAATAACACCCTCGGTTGGGTAGGTTGTTAAAAATCAAGATATCCAAGAGCTAATTGATCCAATAACACTCTCGGTGGGGTAGGCTAGTTGTTAAAAATCAAGATATCCAAGATCTAATTGATCCAATAAAACTCTCGTTGGGGTAGCCTAGTTGTTAAAAATCAAGATATCCAAGATCTAATTGATCCAATAACACTCTCGGTGGGGTAGGCTAGTTGTTAAAAATCAAGATATCCAAGAGCTAATTGATCCAATAACACTCTCGGTGGGGTAGGCTAGTTGTTAAAAATCAAGATATCCAAGTGCTAATTGATCCAATAACACACTCGGTGGGGTAGCCTAGTTGTTAAAAATCAAGATATCCAAGTGCTAATTGATCCAATAACAGTATTGGTGGGGAAGCCTTGTTGTTAAAAATCAAGATATCCAAGAGCTAATTGGTCCAATAACACCCTCGGTTGGGTAGGTTGTTAAAAATCAAGATATCCAAGTGCTAATTGATCCAATAACACTCTCGGTGACTCTGTGATCAGTTCGGTTTGTGTCTGTCTTCCAGATATTGGTAAGTAAACGAACATGTGGGTAGAAAGTAGAGCAGCCTTTGTACCAGCGTAGTATTGGGTTCAGCCTTGTGTCATAGATACTGTTTTCGATTTGAGAAACAAGACTCACAAACCGGTCAGGTGTGAAGTCTGATCTATTACAGGCTCATGTGATGTCCTGATGTTATTGTTCTAGTTATATTTATACAATTAGTGTGCCGGACACACCTATTTTAGACCACTCTTCAATTCCATTCCGTACCCACGAATGTATGAAACTTATTTGCGTCAAATTGGTTTGATATGAATACAGTAAACAACATGTTTGAAGTGCCTCTGTCTGGAATGTTGAAATTGTTGGAGTTGCCTCCCTTACACCACCAACACTCGAACAAGCCTGCGGTATTGGAAGGTGCGTTCGATTATGAAAATTTGCTAACCAAAGTACCCCAAGGATTCAGTCGATAAGGGAGACCTTGGTCAACCGTATTATGACGTAAATGAGTTGACATGAGCTAACATTGGTCAATCAAGGTCAACTCGGGTTATACCTTGGTTCACCCCCGTCGGCCAGGGTTTTGAAAGGAACGCACCGTTTAGTCCTGATGGCGTCTTGTCCGTGTTTGGGGCGTCTGTAAAAGGTTTGGTTTAGTTTGGTTTGTTGTTTAACGCCGCACTCAGCAATATTCCAGCTATATGACAGCGGTCGGTAAATAATCGAGTCTGGGCCAGACAATCCAGTGATTAACATCAGGAGCATCGATCCACGCATTTGGGATAGGTGACATGCATCAACAAAGACAGCGAGCCTGACCATCCGATCCCGTTAGTCACCTTTTACGACAAGCATAGTCGCCTTTCACGGCAAGCATGGGTTGCTCAAGACCTATTCTATCCCGAATCTTCACGGGTCCACCTATAAAGAAAATTTGTTTAATTTATTGATTCAATCATGAATATAGTGATTTTAATGAATATAACTAACTAGGTATGATTATTATATATGTCAGTGAAATGTAACTTTCGATCGTTGATATAAATACTTTAAAAAATAAATAGGGCCTGATTGCGTCTTGTCAGTGCCTGGGGCACGGTTCTCTGGTTCGCAGTCTCCAAGTGACGTTATCGTCAAAGAAATGTAGTTTAATTTAAAGATTCAATCATGAATATAGAGATTTTAATGAATATAATTAACTGGATATTGATTGTATATATGTCAGTGCAAATGTCACTTTCGATTGACATTCAATAGACAAAGATACGATGACAGCTTTGCCACGAAATGAAACACTTGTTAACTTCTCTGAAGCTGTGTGTTTTAGCAAAGGGTTTGGGGTTTCTCCGTCTCCTGGCAGCCATTATTGCATCTAAGGTTGTATTTTATACGTTCTGAGTCGGATATCCTTGATTGACACTGGTTAACTCCGTTTGACTAAAATTTTTAAAATCGAACATACCTAGTACATTCTAATTGTGTAATATAAATGGATAACAATATTTATGATAATGTTAATGAAATTATGAAAAAGGTCCACTTAAACAGCTTCGTATTTTCCAACGATTTGTTTCACATCAAGTGTTTGTGCAGAAGTGTGAAAAGATTAGAAGAAGAAGATTATTTAATCATCTTGTCACACGACGTAAATACAAATAATACTACATATCGCACCTACATGTATTAATGTACATTGTCTGGCCAACATGGCCTATGAGGCACTTAAGTACAAATATTGTCATAATACAATTATACAAGTACTAAAGATCCGGGTTCGATCCCCGACATAGGTACAATGTGTGAAGCCCATTTCTGGTGTCCCCCGTCGTGATATTGCTGGAATATTGCTAAAAGCGGCGTAAAACAATACACACTCACTCACTCACTTATTGAATATCTTACCTCGTGTAGCTTAATTTGTAACATAATTTAAACGACAAGTGGCGAACTCCTTGATGACTTCGGTGAGCTCATTCGTGACCAACTCGTGTTATTCCGAGACAAGCCGAATGGCGACTCGTGCCCCTCTCATAGCCATTTTTGCGACCGGGTTGCGTCTTAGCGCAAACGGGCATACCTAAAACAATTGTCAACTCGTTGTGTAATGGTTCACATATATTTCCCCATAGATTATATATATTTCAAATGCAACTTAAAGCACATCAGGACATGCGACATTATACAGTATGATTGAACACCTTTAACTGTCTTGGGTATATTTTAGAGGCAAGAGTGAGTGAGTGAGTATGGTTTTACGCCGCTTTTACGTTATTCCAGCAATATCACGGCGGGGGACACCAGAAATGGGCTTCTCACATTGTACCAATGTCGGGAATCGAACCCGGGTCTTCGGCGTGACGAGCGAACGCTTTAACCACTCGGCTACCCGACCGCCCCTTTAGAGGCAAGACATATGTAAAATCAAAAATTATTTCTGGGGTATTCTTTGACGAAGAACTTGAAATCATACCCGCATTCGGACTGGTTTGTCGTATTTTCGCACATAACATTCATCGATAGGGGGACGAGTCTTCTTGCAGGTTACACGGGTGGCCCAGTCGTCTAAGGCGCCGCGATTTGCTGTGCAGTGTTGCGTCCCTTTGGCACGCCAGAAACCTATGATAATGGGTTCGAATCCCGGTTCGCCCCGATTATGTTTCTAGGTTTGTCAGCACCATACCCGTGCTCATGGGTTTCACCGAAGTGGTAAACGTCTGAGACTTGCATCACATCGGGTTTTCCTCCCACATTAAGCTGACTCACCTATTTGATCAGACTGATACGCCAATGCCTTTCATATATCTTGCCAACTTTCAGATACAAATGGCGGCTCTTAACGTACATCAGGCTGAAAGTGCGTCAGGGTTTGTTGACAACTGGCAAGCGGGGAAGACCCTTGCTGAATGCAATCTACGCATGTTCGATGCGGAAGAAATTTGTGACGTCACATTTCGTGTGGGAAGTACAGGTCACGTGAGTAAGGCCCATCGCTACGTGCTCATCAGCAGAAGTTGTGTGTTCCACGCCATGTTTACCGGCCCCCTGGCGGAGACGTCGGAAGTCAGTGTTCCGGAAATAGAGCACAAGGATTTCAGACAGTTTCTCTTGTAAGGATTTATAATTACAGTATTACAGAACAGAACATTATTTAAAAAACTATAATAGTAACACTGTACTCCCAAACAAACAGTTTTTAAAGTTCTGTGATAATGATGACCATCATTCTCCAGAGGGAATACTGAGTGCAGGCTGTCGATCCTGCTGATGTAGGCATTGGTCCTTGTTTTCGGCCTTTTACCAGCGCTGCTCTTTTACAGATGGCGTCTGTTGAGAATTTAAAGTCTAAAGCCATCTTATACCAGCGCTGTAGGGCCACATGTTGGGTGTATGTCATGCTCATGTGGGGATATTGAAAATATATAAAACTTCAACACAAGAGAATGACCAAAATGTCTCCTAAACAGATTCCATACTCACGGATTTAACCAAAGTGAAAACTGTCTAATACACTGATCAGTTAATTAGGCATGTGAGACCTCGTTCTAAAATGAGAGACGTAATGATTATTGAAAACCTCTTCAAAGCAGCATTAAATTCACATACAACTCCAACGGCGAGAACATATGTCAACAATGAAATCAAATATTCAGGCATGCAAACTTTAACTGATCTCAAATGCATTTTACGTTGAACGGTAGTATTATCTTTTTTCAAATACTGCATCATTTGGCAGCAAAATTATTCGTAGTCCTCTCCTTCTTCAGATACCTTTACACAGACAACACAACTGTTGATGCTGACAACGTAACAGCTCTACTGTACGCCTCCAGAAAATATGCCATCACCGCCTTAGAATCACAATGTCTGGAGTTCCTGGAGAAACACCTCAACGTTGACAACGCCTGTGTGATTCTAGATGCTGCTCATCGGTTTGATCAAAGCCAGTTGTTTCAGAAGGCCTTCACCTTGATTAAAGATACAGGTGAGAGGTCACTACAGTCATCTGGTTTCCTGACACTGAGCCAAGTGTTGTTGCAGAAGATTGTGGAGTCAGATGATTTGTTAGCCGAGGAGCACGTCATCTTTAGCGCCGTTAACTCCTGGGCAGAGGCAGAGTGCAGACGTCAGGGAAGGGAGGTAACTCCTGAGATCAAGCGAACAGTTCTTGGAGAGACTTTACTGAAAGTAAGATTTCCTCTTTTGGAGCAAAAGTTCCTGGCTAGCGACGTTAAAGCTAGCGGTCTCTTGACTGAACAGGAGCGTCTCACGATCTTTGAATATATTGGATGCCCTGACAATCATGTGAAACCCTTCAACACTAGTCAAAGAAAACAAACAATTGCGCATTCTATAACAAGGTTTTCAACACAATACCTATCAGAATGGTCAGTTAGTGGTAAAAGGTACGATTCTGTGTCATTCAAAAGCAGCCGCAACCTGATGCTCTGTGGATACAGCCTGTATGGACCTTTCCGTGAGACTAAACCCGCTACCTACTTTGTCACCACCTACTTTGGGAACGTGGAAGATGTTCTCCAGTGCAGGATTCAAGATAAAACTGAGTACAAAGTCAACAGTCAAGTGTTTGATGTGGTGTTTGAGAAGCCTGTTGCTATGACAACGGGAGTATGGTATACTCTGGCAGTGCTGATACAAGGCGGTGATACGTGGCGAGGACAAAATGGAAAGAGAGAGATTTTATGTGCTGACGGTGTTCGTTTTACCTTCGGGAACTCACAACACAGCACGAATTACACTAACGTCGATGGAGGGCAGATTCCATCTCTCCTCTACCAAGTTGTATGAACATTACCATCTAGGGAACAATTCCTTAAATATATTTTCTTTTACAAGTGTCATCAAAATAATCGTAATTTTGGTTCGCATTTTCGTTACCCCACTTACAACCTATTTCAAATTACATATTGTTCATGCAGAGGCTTACACCTGCCTTACACCGCGTCCAAAACCTGAATCAGACTGCAGTATTTGCGTTGCAATCTGATGACGTTTAGTCAGTAAATAGTAATTCTGGATACTGAGTGAATAACAATATAATGACGGAAATGAAATAATGTCACTTGAGAAGCTGCACACTTTCCAACTTAAAAAAACACAGCGTTTCACATCAATTGTTTCTGCAGAAATGTGAAAAGATTAGAATTCATCTTCCAAGTTAAGTGCTTTACCACATGTGATCGTAGAGGCCAAGCTGGCGTTACTGTTTACTTATAGTCGGGAGATATGACGGAACATATTTGGGCAAAGTACATTGAGAAGAAACATTAAGAATTAACTGTAACCGTATACGTCCATTATATCCTATTTATATCCTATTAATATCCTATTAATATCCTATTTATATCAGTGATTAAAGTCATAGCACTTTGTACATAGGTCATGGTTAGATGGTGTGCGTTCCATCAAATATGTTTGAATGCATATAGGCCGAAGTACATTGTAACACTAAGTCTTTAAAAATAAATCAATAATATACATGTAATTAGCAGTTGTCTCCACAAAACATTCCCTTTCACACCCTCTGCCGCCATAACAGATGCTATTATATCTGAATAAAAGTGACATACTGCAAAAGCAGGGTCGATTTACGATTCCGACTCTTTCATGAGCATGCGTTTATGAATCACTATCAAATAGTGTAGGTACCAGGTGTTCGCGAAAAGGTGAGCGTATGTCGGTGCCACCCACGTGCAAAGGCAAGTCAATTGTTCACCTAAAGAACATGGGACAATATGGTACATGTCAAAATAGCGAATTGTATCGGACATCATTCTTGAATGGCAGTTTAAATTTTTTTGAAAGCCTTGAATGTTGTCACTCTGATCAAACAACATTTCTGGACGTCACCATAATTTAATTCAAGCAAAGAAGTAGAGTTGATGTCATACGAGCTGGTTTTGGATCGGAAAGTCAAATTTAGAAAAAAAACACAGAAGAACCGTGACATCGACTAACGTCACGCGACCGCGACATCGAATGGTTAGAATCACTGAAACAAGATTTTTTTTTTTAAATTTTAAACGCCGCATTCAGCAATACTCCAGCTGTATGAAAGATAATGTCCTCATTTAGCCTTATACACGTAATGAATAGTAGTGTCATCATCTGGCCTTATACACACTTGTTTGTTTGTTTATTTGTTTGTGCTTAACGCCGCTCTTGGCAATATCTCAGATATATGACGCCGGTCTGTAAATAATCGAGTCAGGACCAGGCAATCCAGTGATTGACACCATGAGCATCGATCTACACAATTAGGATACGATGACATGCATCAACCAAGTCAGCGAGCCTGACCATCCGATCCCGTTAGTCGCCTCTTAAGACAAGCATGGGTTGCTGAAGACCTATTCTAGCCCCGATCTTCACGGATCCCTATACACGTAATGAATAGCAGGGTCCTCATCTCGCCTTATCGCAGTCTCTACAAAACATTCCACATCATACTTGAAATCACTAACTAACCACACAAAATCAATGAAAATTAAACCATCCTACCCTACATGTGACTATAAATCTTAACTCACTCACTCATACTCCTATCCTACGACAAATGTAAAATGCACGTGTACAGATAACACTCATACAATCAGTACGGGTGGTCAGGCTTCGTACCATGATGGTTTTATTGCTGAAGATGTTGTGAAAATAAGAACCGCGCTCCATGTTTGATTTTGTTCTCCCGCTAAGGCCGCATTTTGAAAGTACTGAACTATGGGAACGGACGTTGGCTCATAAGTACGGTGGCACATAAGGGACATGGAGTCTGTTTTTCAATGTTTTAATATTTCACTTACTGTTATCGTAATCTTTTGCAAATTAACACCATTTGTCATACAAATATGTGATAAATCATGTATAAAGAAGATATTGAATTGCTGAAAAGTGAAGCGAAAATGTCAAAAACTAAAAGAAAAATATAGAAAACTATTTCCACCGCGGTGATAGTATTCCCACCGTGGTGATAATATTTCCACCGCAGTGATGATATTTCCACCGCGGTGGAAATAGTTTTCTGTATTTCCATCTTCTTTATACATGATTTATCAATTATTTGTATGACAAATCGTGTTAATTTGCAAAAGGTTACGATAACAGTATGTGAAATATCAAAATATTCGCTTATGAGCCACCGTACATATTCGTTTTTGTTTTTGTTTTTGACATTTTTATTTTAGTTTTTCACCTTTTCGTTTTTCTTTTTGACATTTCCATTTTAGTTTTTGACATTTTCGCTTCACATATCACCGATTCAATAGCTACTTAAAAGCATATTTTCCATGTTTTCGTTTGTATATATACATAGCAAAAGGTTACGATAAAAGTAAGTGAAATATCAAATAATTGAAAAACAGATTCCATGTCCCTTATGGGCCACCGTAGGAACGATACATTTTCCAAAATTAGACACATTAGTCATATTACACATAATTATTATTAGACACAATAAACTTTCCACTCACCATTCACCTGTAGACCTGAACCGAAAGTAGATCACGTGACCCACACACAGACGTGTACATTCTCAGCGGTAACTCAGTAAACAGTTCGGTTCGTGTCTGTTTTCCAGAAATTGGTAAGTAAACGAACATGTGGGTAGGAAGTAGAGGATCAATTATATCATCATAGTACTGGGTTTAGCCGTGTGTTAGGTATTGTTGATTTAAGGTACAATATTCATAAACTGCTCGTGTGTTCCGTCTGACCTATTATCGGCTTATGTGATGTCCTGCTGTCGTTGTCACTGTTATCGTATAGTTATACAATTACTGTGCACCGCACGCCGATTTGAGACATTCCTAATATTTCTTTCCTTACTCACAATTGTTATAACACTTATTTTAGGTCAAATTGATTGGATTTAATGCAGTAAACAACCTATTTAAAGTTCCATCGATCTTGACAATTGTGCATGCTGGAGTTACCTCCCTTACACCCTGTCTCACGCCCGAACTTACCTGCGGTATGGGGGATACGGTATATTGATGTTTCGTCAGTGTTTTGTAATCCTGAATTAAAATGGATAACAAAATAATGATGTTAATGCAATAATTTCACTTGGGCAGCTGTTCACTTTCCAACTAAAACAATGAGATGTTTCACATGATGTGTTTCTTCAGAAATGTGAGATTAGAAATCACCTATGCCAAGTTAAGTGATTCAGCATATGTGAATGATGTAGGCCAACCTGGCGTCACTGTTTACACAAGACTGAAAGAATATGACAAACATATTTTTATAAATATAAAGAGAAGCAACATAAAAAAATCAGCTGCAATTAAAATCGGTGATAAAAATTATTACAGTTTACATTAAGTTCACGCTGATGGATTGTGTTCAAACAAATAAGCTTGAATATTTATACATGTAGGTCAAAGTAACACTTTCAAAAAATAAATAAATAATATACTTGTACATGTTATTAATAATAGTGTCCTCACCTCGTAGCCTCAATACCGTAGCCTCTACAAAACATACCTTCAACATCTGTTAAGTGTATGGTGAATGTGGTAAAGTTACATTGTTTACATATGCACAGGATTAAGTTCCAAGGCATTGGGTAAAATTATTTTATACCTTCTTATAGATATCCAAGAAAATGTTATGAAATGATGTCATTGTATGATAGCTCTGGAAGCCTAAATTGGGTCGCATCTGTTAAGAAAACTATTTTTGAACTTGGTAAAATTTAATGTAATGATTACAAATCAATGTATAACTGAAGAATACCTTTTGACACCTCTTTTGCCAAAAATAGAATGTCTTTTTTCTCCAATAAGATGCTCACCGCCTAATCTTAACTTTGAACAGGGAACATACACACAAATGTTAAAAGAATACAGAGTTCTTAAAATATCCAATAAGCAGGAAGTACGAGATGAGTATGATCTTTTCGTTGTGTGTCAAGTAATATGTATATGTGATCATTTGCGTATTGAATATTTATCTCCTTATATGTACAAACCACCAAATATTGTCAAGTTTATTTGCTTCCGAAATGGCAACACGTAAAATGTGACATCATATGTATTTCATGCAATGAATTATAGAAAATGCATATCAAAGGATTAGTTGATCATATGTTTATTACACTACCAATGCAATATGTACAATGGGCATGTAGCCTTTCAGCATATTTGTAAATAAAGGTTGTTTGATTGAAAAATTGCAATCATATCTGAGAAACGAACATTTAGGAGTCACCACTTCAATGTATTCTACTTCAAAGGAAGGGGTTACCTTACAAAGTAATTTACTCCTAATGTGGAGGCAAACTTGCCTGTCTTTGAAAAAAATTACCCTTCCTCCAAATCACTTGTACATCCAGAATGGCCTCTGTTGGAACTATATAGACATGTATGTGCTTTCTTTGGCTAACTGTACCTGAATCTGAAACCTATTTGATCAGACTGATACGCCACTGCCTTTCATATATCATGCCAACTTTCAGATAAAAAAATGCGACTATTAACGTACATCAGGTTGCAAGAGCTAATTGATCCAATAACAGTCTCGGTGGGGTAGGCTATTTGTGAAAAATCAAGATATCCAAGTGCTAATTGATCCAATAACACTCTCGGTGGGGTAGGCTTGTTGTTAAAAATCAAGATATCCAAGTGCTATTTGATCCATTAACAGTATCGGCGGGGTAGCCTAGTTGTTAAAAGTCAAGATATCCAAGTGCTAATTGATTTAATAACATTCTCGTTGACTCTGTAATCAGTTCGGTTTGTGTCTGTCTTCCAGATATTAGTGAGTAAACGAACATGTGGGTAGAAAGTAGAGCAGCCTTTGTACCAACATAGTACTGGGTTCAGCCTTGTGTCACAGATACTGTTGTTGATATGAGGAACAAGACTCATAAACCGGCCAGGTGTGAAGTCTGATCTGTTATAGGCTCATGTGATGTCCTGTTGTTATTGTCCCAGTTATATTTATACAATTAGTGTGTCGGACACACCTATTTTAGACCACCCTTCAATTCCATTCCGTACCCACGGTTGTATGAAACTTATGTGCGTCAAATTGGTTTGATATGAATACAGTAAACAACATGTTCAAAGTGCCTCTGTCTGGAATGTTGAAATTGTTGGAGTTACCTCCCTTACACCACCAACACCCGAACAAGCCTGCGGTATTGGAAGGTGCGTTCGATTATGAAAATTTGCTAACCAAAGTACCCCAAGGATTCAGTCGGTAAGGGAGACCTTGGTCAACCGTATTATGACGTAAATGAGTTGACATGAGCTAACATTGGTCAACCAAGGTCAACTTGGGTTATACCTTGGTTCATCCCCCCGTCGGCCTGGGTTTTGAAAGGAACGCACCGTTTAGTCCTGATGGCGTCTTGTCCGTGTTTGGGGCGTCTGTAAAGAGTTTGGTTTAGTTTGGTTTGTTGTTTAACGCCGCACTCAGCAATATTCCAGCTATATGACGGCGGTCGGTAAATAATCGAGTCTGGGCCAGACAATCCAGTGATTAACATCATGAGCATCGATCCACGCAATTGGGATAGGTGACATGCATCAACAAAGACAGCGAGCCTGACCATCCGATCCCATTAGTCACCTTTTACGACAAGCATAGTCGCCTTTCACGGCAAGCATGGGTTGCTGAAGACCTATTTTATCCCGAATCTTCAAGGGTCCACCTATAAAGAAAATTTGTTTAATTTATTGATTCAATCATGAATATAGTGATTTTAATGAATATAACTAACTAGGTATTGATTATTATATATGTCAGTGAAATGTAACATTCGATTGTTGATATAAATACTTAAAAAATAAATAGGGCCTGATTGCGCCTTGTCAGTGCCTGGGGCACGGTTCTCTGGTTTGCAGTCTCCAAGTGACGTTATCGTCAAAGAAATGTAGTTTAATTTAATAATTCAATCATGAATAAAGAGATTTTAATGAATATAATTAACTAGATATTGATTATATACATGTATATGTCAGTGAAATCTAACTTTCGATTGTTGATATAAATACTTCAAAAATAAATAGGGCCTGATTGCGTCTTGTCAGTGCCTGGGGCACGGTTCTCTGGTCCGCAGTCTCCAAGTGACGTTATCGTCAAAGAAATGTAGTTTAATTTAAAGATTCAATCATGAATATAGAGATTTTAATGAATATAATTAACTGGATATTGATTGTATATAAGTCAGTGCAAATGTAACTTTCGATTCACATTCAATAGACAAAGATACGATGACAGCTTTGCCACGAAATGAAACACTTGTTAACTTCTCAGAAACTGTGTGTTTTAGCAAAGGGTTTTGGGTTTCTCCGTCTCCTGGCAGCCATTATTACATCTAAGGTTGTATTTTATACGTTCTGAGTCGGATATCCTTTATTGACACTGGTTAACTCCGTTTGACTAAAAATTTCAAAATCGAACATACCTAGTACATTCTAATTGTGTAATAAACTAGTGTCCAAAAGAAACGATACCAATTTACTTTCAAAATTGTTTTTTACTAAGTGAATTGTCAAGTATGAAAACATGCCAATTCGTATTGCACATCCCAAACACAGCATAGTCGATAAAAAATACCGGGAACACGTGATCACTTCCGGGAAAAAACGTAAATTTCGTGAAAGTGACATTTCCCTCTCTAGTATGTTCTGCACGTGCAGAAAAACTGTATAAAACGGCTGATCAGACACGTTGATATCACAGCAACAAAAAGAACACAAGATATGCCACGTTTGACAGCCATCGAGAGAGAGAGAGAGCCGTTGGAATGGTCCAACAAGGCGCGTCACACGTCAACGTCGCCAGAAGGTTGGGCTGCGCACGCATCACTATCACCAGGTTGATGCAGCGGTTACGTCAGACAGGTCAGACGTCAGACAGGCCCAGGAGTGGAAGACCACGAGTAACCACGCCCCGTGAAGATCGTTACATCCGAGTATTACACCTGAGGAACCGCACCGTAACAGCGACGTCCACGGCGGCTACAGCACTGGGACACAGGATCAGTCGACAGACCGTCTACAGGAGACTACGGCAGTATGGTATCCGGCCACGTCATCCCTACCGCGGACCGCTCCTGACGCCTCGACACCGGAACAACAGACTGATCTGGGCCAGGCGAGTTCGACGTTGGCAACGGCGGGACTGGGCACGTGTTATGTTCTCTGATGAGAGCAGATTCCTCATCTTCAGAAACGATGGACGGCAGCTTGTATACCGACGACTTGGTGAACGTTTGGCGCCTAACTGTATCCAACAGGTCCGGCCGTTTGGAGGTGGAGGGTTAATGGTTTGGGGTGGCATTTGTGGTGACGTCAAAACGATGCTTGTCGTAATTCGTGGAAACCTGAATGCACAGCGTTATCTTGATGACATCCTACGGCCTGTTGTGGTGCCCTTTATTCAGCAACAGCCACGTGGACTTCTTTTCCAACATGACAATGCAAGGCCACACACAGCAAGATTGACACAGAACTTCCTTGCCAACGCCAACGTACAGGTTTTGCCATGGCCCGCATGTTCACCGGACACGTATGGGACCACCTCGATCGGCAAATCCGACGTCGCCGTGTGCCTCCAGTCAACGTCCAGGACTTGGAACGATGTCTCCTCGAGGAATGGCAACGCATCACTCCAAACGTCATCAGACGTTTGACGTCATCAGTCCGTAGGCGTGTTCTGGCATGTATTGATGCTCACGGTGGACATACCCGCTACTGACTTGACTTTGAGACGTGTGGTGTGACATTTCCCGTTGTTTCTGTGATCAGTGCTCTAACGAAATGTTCTTTTTTCGACCCCACCCATCTTTAAAGGCTTGTCATATTGGTTGTACAGATTTTATTGAAATGAAATTTTTGTACAGATGTTGTGAAAGGATTTCTCAAAAGCATAACACCAGTCCTAAACTTCTGCATTGTTTAGTTTTTCTTTTATGTCGTTGCAAACAGGTGGTATCGTTTCTTTTGGACACTAGTTTATAAATGGAAAACAAAATGATAATGTTAATGAAATTATGAAAAAGGTCCACTTAAACAGCTTCTAATTTTTCCAACGATTTGTTTCACATCAAGTGTTTGTGCAGAAGTGTGAAGGATTAGAGGAAGAAGATTATTTAATCATCTTGTCACACGACGTAAATACAAATAATACTACATATCACACCTACATGTATTAATGTACATTGTCTGGCCAACATGGCCTATGAGACACTTAAGTAGAAATATTGTCATTATGCAATTATACAAGTACTAAAGATCCGGGTTCGATCCCCGACATAGGTACAATGTGTGAAGCCCATTTCTGGTGTCCCCCGTCGTGATATTGCTGGAATATTGTTAAAAGCGGCGTAAAACAATACACACTCACTCACTCACTTATTGAATATCTTACCTCGTGTAGCTTAATTTGTAACATAATTTCAACAAGTGGTGAACTCCTTGATGTTACAGAACAGAACATTATTTAGAAAACAATAATAGTAACACTGTACTCACAAACAAACAGTTTTTATAGTTCTGTGATAATGATGACCATCATACTCCAGAGAGAATACTGAGTGCAGGCTGTCGATCCAGCTGATGTAGGCATTGGTCCTTGTTTTCGGCCTTTTACCAGCGCGGCTCTTTTACAGATGGCGTCTGTTGAGAATTTAAAGTCTGAAGCCATCTTATACCAGCGCTGTAGGGCCACATGTCGGGTGCATGTCATGCTCATGTGGGGATATTGAAAATATATGAAACTTCAACAAAAGAGAATGACCAAAATGTCTCCTAAACAGATTCCATACTCACCGATTTAACCAAAGTGAAAACTGTCTAATACGCTGATCACTTAATTAGGAATGTCAGACCTCGTTCTAAAATGAGAGACGTAATGGTTTTTGAACACCTCTTCAAAGCAGCATTAAATTCACATACAACTCCAACGGCGAGAACATATGGCGATTTCAACAATGAAATCAAAATTCTGGCATGCAAATTTTAACTGATCTTAAATACATGTAATGTTGAGCGGTAGTATTATCTTTTGTCAAATACTGCATCATTTGGCAGCAAAATTATTCGTAGTCCTCTCCTTCTTCAGATACCTTTACACAGACAACACAACTGTTGATGCTGACAACGTAACAGCTCTATTGTACGCCTCCAGAAAATATGCCATCACCACCTTAGAATCCCAATGTCTGGAGTTCCTGGAGAAACACCTCAACGTTGACAACGCCTGTGTGATTCTAGATGCTGCTCATCGTTTTGATCAAAGCCAGTTGTTTCAGAAGGCCTTGACCTTGATTAAAGATACAGGTGAGAGGTCACTACAGTCATCTGGTTTCCTGACACTGAGCCAAGTGTTGTTGCATCAGATTGTGGAGTCAGATGATTTGTTAGCCGAGGAGCACGTCATCTTTAGCGCCGTTAACTGCTGGGCAGAGGCAGAGTGCAGACGTCAGGGAAGGGAGGTAACTCCTGAGATCAAGCGAACAGTTCTTGGTGAGACTTTACTGAAAGTAAGATTTCCTCTTTTGAAGCAAAAGTTCCTGGCTAGGGACGTAAAAGCTAGCGGTCTCTTGACTGAACAGGAGCGTCTCACGATCTTTGAATATATTGGATGCCCTGACAATGATGTGAAACCCTTCAACACTAGTCAAAGAAAACAAAGAATTGCGCATTCTATAACAAGGTTTTCAACACAATTCCTATTAGACTGGTCAGTTGGTGGTGAAACGTGCGATTCTGTGTCAGTCAAAAGCAGCCGCAACCTGATGCTCTGTGGATACAGTCTGTATGGACCTTCCCGTGAGACTAAACCCGTTACCTACTCTGTCACCACCTACTTTGGTAGCGAGCAAGATGTTCTCCAGTGCAGGATTCAAGATATAACTGAGTACAGAGTCAACAGTCAAGTGTTTGATGTGGTGTTTGAGAAGCCTGTTGCTATGACAGCGGGAGTATGGTATACTCTGGCAGTGCGGATACAAGGCAGTGGGACGTGGCGAGGACAAAATGGAAAGAGAGAGATTTTATGTGCTGACGGTGTTAGTTTTACCTTCAGGAAGGCACAACACAGCACGAATAGCACTAACATCGACCAAGGGCAGATTCCATCTCTCCTCTACCAAGTTTCATGAATATTAACATCCAGGGGACAATTCCTTAAATATATTTTCTTTTACAAGTGTCATCAAAATAATCGTAATTTTGGTTCGCATTTTCGTTACCCCACTTACAACCTATTTCAAATTACATATTGGTCATGCAGAGGCTTACACCTCCCTTGCACCACGTCCTAAACCTGAATCAGACTGCAGTATTTGCGTTGCAATCTGATGACGTTTTGTTAGTAAAAAGTAATTCTGGTTACTGAGTGAATAACAATATAATGACGGTAATGAAATAATGTCACTTGAAAAGCTGCAAACTTTTCAACTTCAAAAATAACAATGTTTCAAATCGATTGTTGCTGCAGAAAAGTGAAAAGATTAGAAATCATTAAGTTATTTGCTTTTCCACATGTGATCGTAGAGGCCAAGCTGGCGTCACTGTTCACTTATAGTCGGGAGATATGACGGAACATATTTTTGCAAAGTATATTGAGAAAAAAACAAAAATGATTAGGTGGAACCGTATCCGTCCATTATATCCTATTTATATCCTATTTATATCAGTGATTAAAGTCATAGCACTTTGTACATAGGTCTTGGTTAGATGGTGTGCGTTCCATCAAATATGCTTGAATGGATATAGACCGAAGTAACACTTTGAAGAATAAATCAATAATATACATGTTATTAGCAGTAGTCTCCACAAAAATTCCCTCTCACACCCTGTGCATAACAGATGCTATTATATCTGAATAAAAGTGACATACTGTAAAAGCAGAGTCTACTAACGATTCCGACTCTTTCATGAGCATGCGTCCATGAATCACTGTCCAATAGTGTAGATACCAGGTGTTCGCGAAAAGGTGAGCGTATGTCGGTGCCACCTACATGCAAAGGCAAGTCAATTGTTCACCTAAAGAACATAGGACAATATGGTACATGTCAAAATAGGGAATTGCATCGGACATCATTCTTGAAACTGATGCGTCAAATTTGGAAATGTCTTCCTCATGTCTACTTTAAAACTTTGTGAAAGCCTTGAATGTTGTCACTCTGATCAAACAACATTTCTGGACACAAAGGGCTGAGGCTGCAGGATATTGCTCGACATAAAGGGAAAGTTGACTATTGGAGAGGAGAAGTCAACTCTCTTCTCATACAGTCTTGTGGGGGGTGTTTTGTCACTCTGAGTCTTTAAGCATATATCAAAATATGAAACAGATGAGATGGTCTCACTGGTCTCCTTTATTTCTAGTTCAGGTGGGTAAATCAGTGGAAGGGAATTGTTTATTGAACGATATCAGGTCATCGACATACCTGAAGCTCATGTTAAACTTCTTGGCTTGTTTGACTTCGAGCAGAAAGTCCGATTGATATGCTTAAAGATGCTGATCAGTAAGAAGGGGGGCACAAATGGTGCCCATGGGTATGCCTACTTTTTGCCTAAATGTCTTACCCCCAAATTTTATATAGATGTTATCAATGAGAAAGTCCAGCATTTCACATATTGTTTTTTTTCAGTTAACTTCAGATGGCATTCGAATTCATCTTTGACAAATTGACCTTAACCTCTGACGATAGATTAACTGTATCTATGGTCACGAGTGATTTGTAACAGAAGCCCTAGGGAACAAGGAATGACGTTATTTCTTAAGTCATATGGGATAGTGGAGTACAAAACGAATACTAGTATTAAGGAGTCATCACGTCACTATAATTTAATTCAAGCAAAGAAGTAGAGTGGAGGCCATACAAGCTGGTGTTGGATCGGAAAGTCAAATTTAAAAAAAAACAAGTAGAACCGTAACATCGACTTACGTCACGCGACCGCGGCATCGAATACCTAGAATCACAAAAACAAGATTTTTTGGTTTGTTGTTTAACGCCGCATTCAGCAATACTCCAGCTGTATGAAAGGTATTGTCCTCATCGAGCCTTATACACGTAATGAAAAGTATTGTCTTCATCTCGCCTTACACACATTTGTTTGTTGTTTAACACCGCTCTCGGCAATATCTCAAATATATGACGGCGGTCTGTAAATAATCGAGTCTGGACCAGACAATCCAGTGATTGACATCATGATCATCGATCCACACAATTAGGATACGATGACATGCATCAACCAAGTCAGCGAGCCTGACCACCGGTTCCAGTTAGTCGCCTCTTACAACAAGCATGGGTTGCTGAAGACCTATCCTTGCCCCGATCTTCACGGATCCCTATACACGTAATGAAAAGCAGGGTCCTCATCTCGCCTTATGGCAGTCTCTACAAAACATTCCACATCATACTTGAAATCGCTAACTAACCACACAAAATCAACGAACGTTAATCAAATCATAATGAAAGACGCAGGGTCAGGTTTACTATCATAAATGGTAATACATTGGCTCACGGATTTGACTCGATTTACCCTTTGATATAAACGACTATCAGTACATATGCTTATGTTTCCCAACAGTTAATGAGGTGACACTGACTTCCAGCCCATGTTGTTGAACACACGGAATCACAAAATTGACTTTCTGGCTTCTATCCTCTGTAAGTGGATCATGGCAACAGCTGGTGAGTACTCCATGTTTGATATTATTCTCCCGCTAAGGCCACATTTAGCAAGTACTGAACAGTTGGAAATGACGACAGAGACACGATACATTTTCCAAAATTAGACATGTTAGTCATATTAGTCGCGACACACAATAAACTTACACTCACCATTCATCTTGTACACCTGAACCGAAAGTAGATCACGTGATCCACACGCGGAAGCTTACATTGTCAGCGGTAACACAGTAAACAGTTCGGTTCGTGTCTGTGTTCCAGATATCGGTAAGTAAACGAACACGTCGGTAGGAAGTAGAGGATCAATTATATCATCATAGTACTGGGTTTAGCCGTGTGTTAGATATTGTTGATTTAATGTACAATATTCATAGGCCGCTCGTGTGTTCAGTCTGACCTATTATCGGCTTATGCATGTCCTGCTGTCGTTGTCAATGTTATCGTATAGTTATACAATTACTGTGCACCGCACGCCGATTTGACACATTCCTAATATTTCATTCCTTACTCACAATTGTTATAACACTTATTTAGGTCCAATTTATTGGATATATATGCAGTAAACAACCTATTTAAAGTTGCATCGATCTTGACAATTGTGCATGCTGGAGTTACCTCCCTTCCACCCTGTCTCACGCCCGAAATTACCTGCGGTATTTGGGAAAGGGTATGTTTCGTCAGTGTTTTGTAATTTTGAATTAAAATGGATAACAAAATAATGATGTTAATGAAATAATTTCACTTGGGCAGCTGTTCACTTTCCTACTAAAACAATGAGATGTTTCACATGATATGTTTCTTCAGAAATGTGAGATTAGAAATCACTTATGCCAAGTTAAGTGATTCAGCGTATGAACCTGGCCAACCTGGTGTCACTATTTACACAAGACTGAAAGAATATGACAAACATATTTGTTACAAATATATTGAGAAGCAACATAAAAAATCAGGTGCAATTAAAATCAGTTTACATATAGTTCACGCCTGATGGATTGTGTTCCAAGAAATAAGCTCGAATATTTATACATGTAGGTCGAAGTATCACTTTAAAAAAAGAAAGAAAGAATATACTTGTTCATGTAATTAATAATAGTGTCCTCATCTCGTAGCCCTAATACCGTAGCCTCTACAAAACAAGTGCTAAGTGTATGGTGAATATGGTAAAATTATATTGTTTACATAAGCACAGGATTAAGTTCTAAGGCATTGGGTACAATTATTATATACCTTCTTATAGATATCCAAGAAAATGTTATGAAATGATGTCATTGTATGATAGTTTTGGAAGCCTAAATTGGGTCGCATCTGTTAAGAAAACTACATTTGAACTTGGTTCAATGATTACAAATCAATGTAAAATGTGATGTAATAATAACAAATCAGTGTAAAATGTAATCTAATGATTACAAATCAATGTATTACTGAAGAACACCTTTTGACAACTCTTTTGCAAAAGATAGAATATCTTTTTTTCTCGAAAAAGATGCTCACTGCCTAATCTTAACTTTGAACAGGGAACATAGACACGAATGTTAAAAGAATACAGAGTTTGTAAAATATGCAATAAGCAGGAAGTACGAGATGAGTATGATCTTTTCGTTGTGTGTCCAGTATATGATCATTTGCGTATTGAATATTTATCTCCTTATATGTACCAACCACCAAATATTGTCAAGTTTATTTGCTTCCGAAATGGCAACACGTAAAATGTGACATCATATGTATTTCATGCAATGAATTATAGAAAATGCACATCAAAGGATTAGTTGATAATATGTATATTACACTACCTATGCAATCTGTACTATGGGCACGTAGCCTTTCAACATATGTGTAAATAAAGGTTGATTGATTGAAGAATTGCAATCATATTTTAGAAACGAACATTTAGGAGATCACTTCAATGCATTTTACTTCAAAGGAAGGGGTTAGCTTACAAAGTAGTTTACTCCTAACGTGAAGGACATACTTGCCTGTCTTTGCAAAAGAATTACCCTTCCTCCAAATCACTTGTACATCCAGAATGGCCTCTGGTGGAACTATATAGACATGTATGAGCTTTCTTTGGGTAACTGTACCTGAATCTGAAGCCTATTTGATCAGACTGATACGCCAATGCCTTTCATGTATCATGCCAACTTTCAGTCAACCGGTCAGGTGTGAAGTCTGATCTATTACAGGCTCAAGTGATGTCCTGATGTTATTGTCCTAGTTATATTTATACAATTAGTGTGCCGGACACACCTATTTTAGACCACCCTTCAATTCCATTCCGTACCCACGAATGTATGAAACTTATTTGTGTCAAATTGGTTTGATATGAATACAGTAAACAACATGTTTGAAGTGCCTCTGTCTGGAATGTTGAAATTGTTGGAGTTACCTCCCTTACACCACCAACACCCGAAAAAGCCTGCGGTATTGGAAGGTTTGATGATGAAAATTAGGTAACCAAAGCACCCCAAAGATTCAGTCGGTAAGGGCGACCTTTGTCAACCGAATTATGACGTAAATGGGTTGACATGAGCTTACACTGGTCAACCAAAGTCAACTTGGGTTATACCTTGGTTCACCCCCGTCGGCCAGGGTTTTGAAAGGAACGCACCGTTTAGTCCTGATGGCGTCTTGTCATTGGCACGGCACTCTCCAAGTGATGCCATCTGTAAAGATTTTGGTTTGGTTTGTTGTTTAACGCCGCACTCAGCAATACTCCAGCTATATAACGGGGGTTTGTAAATAATCGAGTCTGGGCCAGACAATCCAGTGATTGACATCATGAGCATCGATCCACGCAATTGGGATCGATGACATGCATCAAACCAAGGCAGCGAGCCTGACCACCCGATCCCGTTAGTCGCTTTTTACGACAAGCATAGTCGCCTTTTACGGCAAACATGGGTTTTGCTGAAGACCTATTCCGGATCTTCACAGATCCATCTATAAAGCAAATTGGTTTGATTTAATGATTCAATCATAAATACAGAGATTTTAATTATTATAATTAACTAGATATTGAGTGTATATATGTCAGTGAAATGTAACTTTCGATTGGTGATATAAATACTTCAAAAATAAAGAGGGCCTGGTGGCGTCTTGTCAGTGCCGGGGCGCGGCTCCCTGGTTCGCAGTCTCCAAGTGACGTTATCGTCAAAGAAATGTAGTTTAATTTAATGATTCAATCATGAATAAAGAGATTTTAATGAATATAATTAACTAGATATTGAGTGTATATATGTCAGTGAAATGTAACTTTCGATTGTTGATATAAATACTTCAAAAATAAAGAGGGCCTGATTGCGTCTTGTCAGTGCCGGGGCACGGTACTCTGGTTAGCAGTCTCCAAGTGATGTTATCGTCAAAGAAATGTAGTTTAATTTAATGATTAAATCATGAATTAAGAGATTTTAATGAATATAATTAACTAGGTATTGATTGTATATATGTCAGTGCAAATGTAACTTTCGATTGTTGATATAAATACTTCAAAAATAAAGAGGGCATGATTGCGTCTTGTCAGTGCCGGGGCACGATACTCTGGTTAGCAGTTTCCAAGTGACGTTATCATCAAAGAAGTTTAATTTAATGATTAAATCATGAATTAAGAGATTTTAATGAATATAATTAACTAGGTATTGATTGTATATATGTCAGTGCAAATGTAACTTTCGATTGTTGATATAAATTCCTTAAAAAATAAAGAGGGCCTGATTGCGTCTTGTCAGTGCCGGGGCACGGTACTCTGGTTCGCAGTCTCCAAGTGACGTTATCGTCAAAGAAATGTAGTTTAATTTAATGATTAAATCATGAATTAAGAGATTTTAATGAATATAATTAACTAGGTATTGATTGTATATATGTCAGTGCAAATGTAACTTTCGATTGTTGATATAAATACTTCAAAAATAAAGAGGGCCTGATGGCGCCTAGTCAGTGCCGGGGCACGGTACTCTGGTTCGCAGTCTCCAAGTGATGTTATCGTCAAAGAAATGCAGTTTAATTTAATGATTAAATCATGAATTAAGAGATTTTAATGAATATAATTAACTAGATATTGATTGTATATATGTCAGTGCAAATGTAACTTTCGATTGTTGATATAAATACTTCAAAAATAAAGAGGGCCTGATTGCGTCTTGTCAGTGCCGGGGCACGATACTCTGGTTAGCAGTCTCCAAGTGATGTTATCGTCAAAGAAATGTAGTTTAATTTAATGATTAAATCATGAATTAAGAGATTTTAATGAATATAATTAACTAGGTATTGATTGTATATATGTCAGTGCAAATGTAACTTTCGATTGTTGATATAAATTCCTTAAAAAATAAAGAGGGCCTGATGGCGTCTTGTCAGTGCGGGGCACGGTACTCTGGTTCGCAGTCTCCAAGTGATGTTATCGTCAAAGAAATGTAGTTTAATTTAATGATTATATCATGAATTAAGAGATTTTAATGAATATAATTAACTAGGTATTGATTGTATATATGTCAGTGCAAATATAACTTTCAATTGTTGATAGAAATACTTTAGAATTAATAATGCAACTTTGATGATGATTTTGCACCTCGTTTGGTGTTTTATGCGTTATTTTGAACCTTTGCATGCATTCAGTAGACGAAGATACGATGACAGCTTTGCCATGAAATGAAGCACTTGTTATGTTCTCAGAAGCTGTGTGTTTTAGCACAGGGTTTAGGGTTTTCCGTCTCCTGGCAGCCATTATTACATCTTAGGTTGTATTTTATACGTTCTGAGTCGGATATCCTTGATGGACAGGTTGACTCCAATTTTCATTACGAACACACCTGGTACATTCTAATTGTGTATAATAAATGGATAACAATATAAATAAATAATGTTAATGAAATTATGAAAAAGGTCCAGTTTAACAGCTTCCCACTTCCCAACGAATTGTTTCACATCAAGTGTTTGTGCAGAAGTGTGAAAAGATTAGAAGAAGAAGAATATTTAATCATCTTGTCACACGATGTAAACACAAATACTACTACATATCACACCTACATGTATTAATGTACGTTGTCTCGTCAACATGGCCTATGTTTATTGTCATTATACAAGTATGTAAGTGCTAAAGAGACATGATAATAAAACATTGTATAGTTAGGGGGAAATTCAGTTTGCGGGTGAATTGTCTACGGCTATAGATTATAGTAACATCAGGGGCGAGGCCAAACATGAGCAGGTCATTCTACATTATAAAGATAGTCTGGTCAGTATAAGACATGCTAGAACATATCGGACCAAGTAGAGAGGCATGCACCTACAAAGAAAATATTTCGTAAGTGTAGAATACCCATGTAGGTAGGAGATTTACTTCATACTCATAACGACTAGGCTACCCGACCTCCCCTGTAAGTTTGGAGGTATGTGTTCATTACTTATTGAATAGGACGGTCGGATAGCCTAGTGGTCAACGCGTTCGCTCGTCACGCCGAAAACCCGGCTAGATTCCCGACAAGGGTACAATGTGTGAAGCCTATTTCTGGTGTCCCCGCCGTGATATTGCTGGAATATTCCTAAAAGCGGCGTAAAACAATACACACTCACTCACTCACTCACTCACCCACTTATTGAATATCTTACCTCGTGTAGCTTATTTTGAAACATAACTTCAGCGACAACTGGCGAACTCCTCGATGTCTTCAGTGAGCCCATTCGTGACCAACTCGTGTTATACCGGGACAAGCCGAATAGCGACTCGTGCCCATCTCATAGCCCTTTTGTACGACCGGGTTCCGTCTTAGCGCAAACGGGCATACCTAAAACAATTGTCAACTCGTTGTTTAAAGGTTCACATATATTTCCCCATATATTTTATAGATTTCAAATGCAATTTAAAGCACATCAGGACATACGAAATTATAAAGTATGATTGAACACCTTTAACTGTCTTGGGTATATTTTAGAGGCGAGACACATGTAAAATCAAGAATTATTGCTGAGGGATTCGGTGACGAAGAACTTGAAATCATACGCGCATTCGGATTGGTTTGACGTATTTTCGCACATAACATTCATCGATAGGGGGACGAGTCTTCTTGCAGGTTAGACGGGTGACCCATGCCAGTCGTCTAAGGCGCCGCGATTCGTTGTGCAGAGTTGCGTCCCTTGGGCACGCCAGAAACCTATGATTGTGGGTTCGAATCCCGGTTCGCCCCGATTATGTTTCTAGGTTTGTCAGCACCATACCCGTGCTCGTGGGTTTCACCGAAGTGGTAAACGTCTGAGACCTGCATCACTTCGGGCTTTCCTCCCACATTAAGCTGACACGCCGTGATATAACTGGAATAATGATAAAAGCGGCGTTAAACCCAACTCACTCACTCAGTCACTCTTGCAGGTTACGGAAAGGAGCGAGTGGTGACGAATGCAGTGAGCTTTGAAGCGTCTATCTTCATTACGTCATAAAGCGCATGGTAACGTATTGTTAAAGAACTCGAAAAGAGTTGAGGCTCAAAATCATCTTACGTGGGGGTACATGCATGAGCTTTCGTTTGGTAGCTGTACCTGAATCTGAAAACTATTTGTTCAATGTCTTTCATATGTCATCCCAACTTTCAGATAAAATGGCGGCTGTGAACGTACAACAAGCTGAAAGTACGTCAGGGTTTGTTGACAACTGGCAAGCGGGGAAGACCCTTGCTGAATGCAATCTACGCATGTTCGATGCGGAAGATCTTTGTGACGTCACATTTCGTGTTGGAAGTACAGGCCATGTGATCAAGGCCCATCGCTACGTGCTCATCAGCAGAAGTTGTGTGTTCCACGCCATGTTTACTGGCCCCCTGGCGGAGACGTCGGAAGTCAGTGTTCCTGAAATAGAGCCTCAGGTGTTGAGAAAGTTTCTCTTGTAAGCATTAATCATTACAGTATTACAGAACAGAATGAGAGACGTAATGATTATTGAAAACCTCTTCAAGCAGCATTAAATTCACATACAACTCCAACGGCGAGATCATATGTAAACAATGAAATCAAATATTCTGGCATGCAAATTTTAACTGATCTTAAATACATTTAATGTTGAACGGTAGTATTATCTTTTTTCAAATACTGCATCATTTGGCAGCAAAATTTTTCGTACTTCTCTCCTTCTTCAGATACCTTTACACAGACAACACAACTGTTGATGCTGACAACGTAACAGCTCTACTGTACGCCTCCAGAAAATATGCCATCACCGCCTTAGAATCACAATGTCTGGAGTTCCTGGAGAAACACCTCAACGTTGACAACGCCTGTGTGATTCTAGATGCTGCTCATCGTTTTGATCAAAGCCAGTTGTTTCAGAAGGCCTTGACCTTGATTAAAGATACAGGTGAGAGGTCACTACAGTCATCTGGTTTCCTGACACTGAGACAAGTGTTGTTGCATCAGATTGTGGAGTCAGATGATCTGGCCGCCGAGGAGCACGTCATCTTTAGCGCCGTTAACTGCTGGGCAGAGGCAGAGTGCAGACGTCAGGGAAGGGAGGTAACTCCTGAGATCAAGCGAACAGTTCTTGGAGAAACTTTACTGAAAGTTAGATTTCCTCTTTTAAAGCTAACGTTCCTGGCTAGGGACGTTAAAGCCAGTGGTCTCTTGACTGAACAGGAGCGTCTCACGATCCTTGAATATATTGGATGCCCTGACAATGATGTGAAACCCTTCAACACTAAGCAAAGACAACAAAGAACCCCGCATTCCATAACAAGGTTTTCATCACAGAGTAATAGAGGCTGGAATGTTGGTTTTTTTAGATATGATGCCATTTCCTTCCAAAGCAGCCGAAACCTGATGCTCTGTGGATACAGCCTGTATGGGCCTTCCCGTGAGACTAAACCCGCTACCTGCTTTGTCACCACCTACTTTGGGAACGAGGAAGATGTTTTCCAGTGCAAGATTCAAGATAGAACTGAGTACAAAGTCAACAGTCAAGTGTTTGATGTTGTGTTTGAGAAGTCTGTTGGTATGACAGCGGGGGTGTGGTATACTCTGGCAGTGTATATACGAGGCAGTGATACGTGGGAAGGAGAACATGGACAGAAAAAGGTATGTGCTGACGGGGTTCGTTTTACCTTCAGGAACTCACAACACAGCTCGAATAACACTAGCGTCGACCAAGGGCAGATTCCATCTCTCCTCTACCAAGTTGCATGAACATTAACATCCAAAGGACAATTCCTTATATATATATATATATTTTTTTATGACACTGGTAAAAGAATATATATATATATATATATATATATATATATATATGTATATATATATATATATATATATATATATGTATATATTCTTTTACCAGTGTCATAAAAAAAATCGTAATTTTCGTTTCCTCACTTACAACATATTTCAAATTCCTTCACTCTAGCATATTGAACATGTAGAGGCTTACACCTCCCTTACACCACATCCCAAACTGCAGTATTTGTGTCGCGATCTGATGACGTTTTGTCAGTAAATAGTAATTCTGGATACTGAGTGAATAACAATATAATGACGGTAATGAAATAATGTCACTTCAGAAGCCATTCGTGACCAACTCGTGTTATTCCGGGACAAGCCGAATAGCGACTCGTGCCCATCTCATGGCCATTTTAGCGACCGGTTCCGTTTTATCACAAACGAGCATACCTAAAACGATTGTCAACTCGTTGCGTAATGGTTCACACATTTCCCCATACATTATATATATTTCAGATGCAACTTAAAGCACATCGGGACGTGCGGTATTATGCAGTATGATTGAACATATTTCACTGTGTCTTGGGTTTATTTTTAGATGCGCGACATGTGTAAACATTATTTCTGAGGTATGCTTTGACGACGAACTTGAAATCATAGGCGCATTCTGATTGGTTTGTCGTATTTTTGCACATAACATTCATCGATAGGGGGGACGAGTCTTCTTGCAGGTAACGGACGAATGTTGACAAGCTGCACACTTTCCAACTTAAAAAATAACAATGTTTCACATCAGTTGTTTCTGCAGCAAAGTGAAAAGATTAGAAATCTTCAAGTTATTTGCTTTTCCACATGTGATCGTATAGGCCAAGCTGGCGTCACTGATTACTTATAGTCGGGAGATATGATGGAACATATTTGTGCAAAGTACATTGAGAAGAAACATTAAGAATTAAGTGGAACCGTATACGTACATTATATCCTATTTATATCCTATTATGTCGGTGATTAAAGTCATAGCACTTTGTACATAGGTCATAGTTAGATGGTGTGCGTTCCATCAAATATGCTTGAATGCATATAGGCCGAAGTAACACTAAGTCTTTAAAAATAAATCAATAATATACATGTAATTAGCAGTTGTCTCCACAAAACATTCCCTCCCACACATTGTGTCATCATAACAGTTGTTATTATATCTGAATAAAAGTGACATAGTGCAAAAGCAGGGTCGATTTACGATTCCGACTCTTTCATGAGCACGCGGTTATGAATCACTATCAAACAGTGTTGATACCAGGTGTTCGCGAATGGTGAGCGTATGTCGGTGCCACCCAGATGCAAAGGCAAGTCAATTGTTCACCTAAAGAACATAGGACAATATGGTACATGTCAAAATAGGGAATTGCATCGGACATCATTCTTGTAACTAATGCGTCAAATTTGGAAATGTCTTCCTCATGTCTACTTTAAAACTTTTTGAAAGCCTTGAATGTTGTCACTCTGATCAAACAACTTTTCTAGACACAAAGGGCTGAGGCTGCAGGGTATTGCTCGACATAAAGGGAAAGTTGACTATTGGAAAGTAGAAGTCAACTCTCGTCCCATACAGTCTTGTGGGGGGTGTTTTGTCACTGTGAGTCTTTAAGCATAGATCTAAATATGAAACAGATGAGGCGGCCTCACTGGTCTCCTTTATTTCTAGCAAAGGTGGGTAAATCAGTGGAAGGGAATTGGTTATTGAACGATATCAGGTCATCGACATACCTGAGTCTCAAGTTAAACTTCTTGGCTAAATTACCTTTTTTGACTTTACCAATCCGAGCAGAAAGTCCGATTCATATGTATAAAGATGCCTATCAGCAAGAAGGGGATCACAAAGGGTGCCCATGGGTATGCCTACTTTTTGCCTAAATGTCTACCCCCAAATTTTATATAGATGTTATCAATGAGGAAGTCCAGCATTTCACTTATTGTTTTGTTTTCAGTTAACTTCAGATGGCATTCGCTTTCATCTTTGACAAATTGACCTGAACCTCTGACGATAGATATATGTAACGAATGATTTATAACAGAAGCCCCAGGGATCAAGGAATGAAGTCATATGGGATATTCGAGTACAAAACGAATACTAGTATTAAGGAGTAATCATGTCACTATAATTTAATTCAAGCAAAGAAGTAGAGTGGAGGTCATAGGAGCTGGTTTTGGATCGGAAAGTCAAATTTAGAAAAAACAGTAGAACCCTGACATCGAATGGTTAGAATCACTGAAACAAGATTTTAATTTTTTTTGGTTTAACGCCGCATCCAGCAATACTCCAGCTGTATGAAAGGTAATGTCCTCATCTAGCCTTATACACGTAATGAATAGTACTGTCTTCATCTCACCTTATACACGTTTGTTTCTTGTTTAACGCCCTCTCGGCAATATTCCAGCTATGTGACGGCGGTCTGTAAATAATCGAGTCTGGACCAGACAATCCAGTGATTGACACCATGAGCATCGATCCTCACAATTAGGATACGATGACATGCATCAACCAATGCAGCGAGCCTGACCACCCGATCCCGTTAGTCGCCTCTTACGACATGCATGGGTTGCTGAAGACTTATTCTACCCCTTATCTTCACGGATCCCTATACACGTAATGAATAGTAGTGTCCTCGTCTCGCCTTATCGCAGTCTCTACAAACCATTCCACATCATACTTGAAATGACTAACTAACCACACAAAATCAATGAAAATTAAACCATCCTACCCTACATGTGACTATAAATCTTAACTCACTCACTCATACTCCTATCCTACGACAAATGTTAAATGCACGTGTACAGATAACACTCATACAATCAGTACGGGGTGGCCAGGCTTCGTACCATGATGGTTTTATTGCTGAAGTTGTTGTGAAAATAAGAACCGCGCTCCATGTTTGATTTTGTTCTCCCGCTAAGGCCGCATTTTGCAAGTACTGAACTATGGGAACGGACGTTGGCCCATAAGTACGGTGGCACATAAGGGACATGGAGTCTGTTTTTCAATGTTTTAATATTTCACTTACTGTTATCGTAATCTTTTGCAAATTAACACGATTTGTCATACAAATATGTGATAAATCATGTATAAAGAAGATATTGAATCGCTGAACAGTGAAGCGAAAATGTCAAAAACTAAAAGGAAAATATAGAAAACTATTTCCACCGCGGTGATAGTATTCCCACCGTGGTGATACTATTTCCACCGCAGTGATGATATTTCCACCGCGGTGGAAATAGTTTTCTGTATTTCCATCTTCTTTATACATGATTTATCAATTATTTGTATGACAAATCGTGTTAATTTGCAAAAGGTTACGATAACAGTATGTGAAATATCAAAATATTCGCTTATGAGCCACCGTACATATTCGTTTTTGTTTTTGTTTTTGACATTTTTATTTTAGTTTTTCACCTTTTCGTTTTTCTTTTTGACATTTCCATTTTAGTTTTTGACATTTTCGCTTCACATATCACCGATTCAATAGCTACTTAAAAGCATATTTTCCATGTTTTCGTTTGTATATATACATGGCAAAAGGTTACGATAAAAGTAAGTGAAATATCAAATAATTGAAAAACAGATTCCATGTCCCTTATGGGCCACCGTAGGAACGATACATTTTCCAAAATTAGACACATTAGTCATATTACACATAATTATTATTAGACACAATAAACTTTCCACTCACCATTCACCTGTAGACCTGAACCGAAAGTAGATCACGTGACCCACACACAGACGTGTACATTCTCAGCGGTAACTCAGTAAACAGTTCGGTTCGTGTCTGTTTTCCAGAAATTGGTAAGTAAACGAACATGTGGGTAGGAAGTAGAGGATCAATTATTAAATCATAGTACTGGGTTTAGCCGTGTGTTAGGTATTGTTGATTTAAGGTACAATATTCATAAACTGCTCGTGTGTTCCGTCTGACCTATTATCGGCTTATGTGATGTCCTGCTGTCGTTGTCACTGTTATCGTATAGTTATACAATTACTGTGCACCGCACGCCGATTTGAGACATTCCTAATATTTCTTTCCTTACTCACAATTGTTATAACACTTATTTTAGGTCAAATTGATTGGATTTAATGCAGTAAACAACCTATTTAAAGTTCCATCGATCTTGACAATTGTGCATGCTGGAGTTACCTCCCTTACACCCTGTCTCACGCCCGAACTTACCTGCGGTATGGGGGATACGGTATATTGATGTTTCGTCAGTGTTTTGTAATCCTGAATTAAAATGGATAACAAAATAATGATGTTAATGCAATAATTTCACTTGGGCAGCTGTTCACTTTCCAACTAAAACAATGAGATGTTTCACATGATGTGTTTCTTCAGAAATGTGAGATTAGAAATCACGTATGCCAAGTTAAGTGATTCAGCATATGTGAATGATGTAGGCCAACCTGGCGTCACTGTTTACACAAGACTGAAAGAATATGACAAACATATTTTTATAAATATAAAGAGAAGCAACATAAAAAAATCAGCTGCAATTAAAATCGGTGATAAAAATTATTACAGTTTACATTGAGTTCACGCTTGATGGATTGTGTTCAAACAAATAAGCTTGAATATTTATACATGTAGGTCAAAGTAACACTTTCAAAAAATAAATAAATAATATACTTGTACATGTTATTAATAATAGTGTCCTCACCTCGTAGCTTCAATACCGTAGCCTCTACAAAACATACCTTCAACATCTGTTAAGTGTATGGTGAATGTGGTAAAGTTACATTGTTTACATATGCACAGGATTAAGTTCCAAGGCATTGGGTAAAATTATTTTATACCTTCTTATAGATATCCAAGAAAATGTTATGAAATGATGTCATTGTATGATAGCTCTGGAAGCCTAAATTGGGTCGCATCTGTTAAGAAAACTATTTTTGAACTTGGTAAAATTTAATGTAATGATTACAAATC